GACTTATTAAGAAATTTGATGCTTTTTAGAGGTTAGTTAATAAGAGTTTAATGTAAAATTTATATATGTATATTTTTGATCAGCATTGTTCAGGGTATTTCCTAGTGGAGCACTCCCGTCTCGAACCTTTTTATTTGTTTAAATTGAGCTTACACGTATACAGGTGTCACATTTTAGTTTACCCATATTAAAGTTTGCTTCTGAGAAAGACAACATGTTTCCAACAACAAATAGTTTGGTGATTAGGGCTACTTTATGAGAGATATCAAATAGAATTACTTCTGATTTCAATGGTAGACTGCTGAGCATTGACTGTTTATATATTAGTTATACTAAATTGTGATCTATTATTTAACATGTCCGTCATTTTTCTCATCTAGTACAATAGCATAGATACCAGCCTTCTGAGTGTCTATGTTATGCATCCCTTCTGGAATGCCTGCGTAAAGGTATGCTATCTATCAAATTGAAGTATTACGAAGATTTTTACAGATCCTCTCTATATAGTATTTACCAAAATGGTTGGCACCCAATTTACTCACCTTTGTGGGTTTCCTCATGACCGTGGTGAACTTTTTACTGCTAGCCTACTACGACTGGGACTTTAAGGCGGCCAATGATAAGTCGGTGGGCAATACAGTGCCCGGCTGGGTGTGGACCGTGGCTGCCATAAATATACTTATCTACTACAATTTGGGTGAGTGTGCCAAGCAGAATAATCTCAGATCAGAGTCGATTTAAGCTGTAAACTTATTATAGATGGCATGGATGGAAAACAGGCTCGTCGCACCGGCACGAGTGGTCCGCTCGGAGAGCTCTTCGATCATGGCTTGGACTCCTATTCGGCGGCACTTATACCAATCTATATATTTTCACTATTTGGCACCGATGATCTGCCGCCCATACGCATGTATTTTGTTATATGGAACGTATTTCTCAATTTCTATTTTACACATGTGGAAAAGTACAATACGGGTGTTATGTTTTTGCCCTGGGGCTACGATTTTACCATGTGGGTAAGTGCAACTAAATGAAGAATAAATTGTTATACAGTATTGAAAGTACTAAAATTCAAACTGTTCTAAATAAAAAATGTTCTCATAAAATATATGTAATCAGTTTAAAGATGTAGTTTAACATCTACAAATTTTATACATTTTAACAAATTCAATTAAACTGTTAGAGACATTAAAAAACTGTTATAAATTATTATAGGTTAAAAATTATAAGCTTTTATAATCTGTTATCTGTTTAAAACTGTTATACAGTTGATTCATTCTTTTATAATCTAATTAAGCCATTGCTGTCAAAAGCTGTTATAATATTTTCAAACTGATAAACCATCATTAACTGTTAAAAAACTCTTAAAATATCTCTCTCTTGATTTTAGGGCGTCAGCTTAATGCTGTTCGTAGCCACGATCCTGGGTCCTGAAATCTATCGCTCGAGTTTCTACGGCATTACGGTGGCAAATGTATTCGAGGTTGGCCTAATTGGCTCTGGCATTCTGTCCAGCCACCCCATTATTATACGGAATATATATCTGTAAATATTTGTATTTGATTTGAAATCGTTACTTGATTCTAAAGGTCTTAACTCTTGCAGCTCCTATAAGAATAAGACGGGCAAAATGCGTCCCATGATGGAGATGTTGCGTCCATTTTTCGCCTTTCTCTGGTTGTTTGTGATAACGCTCGTTTGGTCATTTTTCTCACGCAATAATGTTATTAACCTGGAACCGCGCATACTGTGGATACTCTATGGAACAATCTTTTCCAATATTGCAGTAAGTTTACAGTCTATTGAATCGGTTATAAGTTGGTTAAATCTTAATCTTAAATAGTGCCGCCTGATCGTGGCCCAAATGTCGGATACACGTTGCGATAGCTTCAATATACTTATGTGGCCATTGGTCGCAACCGTGGGCGTCTGCTGCTTTCCCTGGTATGAGGAGGTGCTAGGCACGGATCTGACAGCGCAGGGTGAGCGCTGGCTCGTTCATGGCTTAACAATATTTGTTACATTGGCCCATTGGCATTATGGCTATGGTGTGGTAAGTGAAGATAACAGATATTGCATAATAATTATATATAATAACTTTATCTTCTATCAATCTTCTGCCAATAGGTCTCGGAAATGTGTGACCACTTCAAGATTCGTTGCTTCAAAGTAAGAAAATATGACAGCAATTTTGTTGAACATACATTCCAGAAGAATAACAAATTCCTGAAAAGTCATTGAAACTAATTACATAACTAACTTCAACAAAGAACAAATTTCAACAAAAAGATTAAGCAACCGATTGGTTGCAAATGGTTGGCCATTTTGTATGTGATATATATGTTGGGTGTTACAAAATTCAATTTCGCCTCGCTCTGGTCTAAGTTTAAGTGATCCATAAACTGTCAGTATATAAGCTCTCTATCTCTCTCATGCGCCGCATCAATGTAATGGTAAAGTCCACCCAAGAAATCTTATTTTAAACTAACATAGTTTTCTAAGTATATAATATATATATATATACTAAATATGTATAGATCAAGATATGTATAAAGTAAGTAAGTGCATGATAAAGCATGATAAGGCAGCTGCAAACCTGCATGTGTGCTATGACCACTAATTGCATGTTCCGATAAGTATTAAATGCATTCAGCTAATGGAAAATCCGCTAAGCAATATTATTTCAAAGTTCGCATTATGATTTCTATAGATCAAAAAGACACCCGTCAATGACGCAGCGGAACTCAATGAGGTCGTCGAAGCCGCAAAACCCACGGAAGTAGTCGAAGAAGTGTAATTCATAAGTGATTCGGATTCGTGTCGTGTCCAAACGTCTTTTCTAAGTAAATTTATGTAAAATTGCAACAAATGATTTTTTTTAAGGTTAAGTTGAAATTAAAATTAAAATTAAGAAGCGCAAAAATGGTTACCAAGTGCCTGATTCCCTAAAGTTTTCACTGGTGAGCTTTTTAGCTGAAAGCTTTGCTGAGCTGCACAATTTGCCCGCCAGATGGCAGCTTTGTGTCGCCCATTTTGACGAATAAATGCCAATTTAAATGCAATAAATTGTGTTACATGTTATACCGTTACCATCAAAAATAGAAAATCAGCTTAAATTGCATTTTTTTCAATGTGTGTATGGCAGAAGTAGACGTGGCAGAGCTGAAAAGGGCATATATACTCTTGATCAGAAAATCGAATCGTCCGTTTGGTTGGTTTATTTTAATTATATTAATTTTTTTTTAATAATAAAAAAGTTTTCCTTTCATGTTTCCTCAAAATAAACATAGCTGAACAACATACGAAATAAGTAACTGGTAATAATGGAATATGAGAATATTGAAATAGTTTATTTATGAGCAATTTTATACCCTCGTAAGCTGCTTTCAATCTTCTACTTGAAACTTTTCCATGCGTTCTTCTCTATATATTTGTTGCATATCAGCTTAAGGTATTTGTTTTTGTTTACATTTTCGATGAAATTTTATTCAAACTTCTGTACCAAAAATTGATTCGAAACTTTTTAATCTGTGCCAATATTAATTGCTGTAGTTTCTCTAAATGTATATAGAGGTTTTCGCAGGCCTTTTAGCAGTTCCGCTTTGCTATTGTCACGTAGCGTATCTATTTCTCATTTCTCGCCTCGGGTTGCGACACGCTTCTGTCAGCAGCATCAAATTATATCTGCGTCTGTACACATATCCAGCCCTTATACGTATGTAT